AGAACTGAGACCATTAATATTTAAAGTTGTTATTGAAGTGTGTGTGTTAGTTGAAGTCATCATACTGTTGATTTTTGATGTTACTGTTTGTGTTCTCAGTGGAACTTCATGGTTTAGTAATTATGACCTCGTATTTCTTTCCACGGTCTCTATTATGCTCATTCCTCTTTTCAGCCTGAAATGTTGCTTCCTGTATTATCTTTAGGCATGGCTTGTTGTATATAAATAGTTTTCAAACTGTTAATATAATGGAAAGTTTTCCTTTCTCCTTTAACTATGAGAGGTAATTTTGCTGGATATATTAAGCTTGGCCATCACGGTCTTTCAGGTCTTGGAATGCCCTGCCCTGCTCCAGGCTCTTCCCACATTCAAAGTTTCCGTTGAGAAATCCTCTGTTATTCTGATGAGTTTTCCTTTATATGCAACTTGCATTTTTTCTCTTTGCCACTTTCAACACAGGTTTCTTTTGCTCTGTATACTTAGTGTTATAACTATGATAAGCCACAAGGTTTTTTTTTTTTTTTTTTTTTTTTTTTTTTTTGGTGTTTCGAGACAGGCTTTCTCTGTGTAGCGTTGCACCTTTCCTGGAACTCACTCTGTAGCCCAGGTTGGCCTCAAATTCACAGAGATCTGCCTGCCTCTGCCTCTTAAGTGCTGGGATTAAAGGCGTGCGCCACCACTGCCTGGCCACAAGGATTTTCTTTTCCGGTCTTGTCTACTCAATGTTTTGTGTGCTTCTTCTATCTGTATGTGTATGTTTTTTTCTTAGTTTAGAGAAGATTTCTTCTATGATTTTGTTGATGGTATGTTCTATGTCATTGGCTTCAGTTTCTTCTCTGTCATCTATACCTATAGTCCAGAGAGTTGGTCTTTTTATGGAGTCCTACATTTTCTGTATGTTTATTTCCGTGCTTAATTTTTTTCATATTCCTTGCTTATTCAGCCTAGATCTTCTACTTTTTCTATGAGTCCTGATAGTCTATCCTTGGCTTGATTCATTCTACCTGTGAGACTTCCTTTCCTTTGAGTTTTGTAGTTCAGTTTAGACCTATGAGTTTTGGTTTGATTTAACTGTGATTACCCCTAGGTCTTCATTCTTGGAATAAGAAAATATGTGACTTGTTTTTTTATGTTACAGGAGCCCACAGTTGAGAGATCTCAGGTCTTCTCAAGAGACTGAACTTTTAAAATGTTTGAATTTTTAAAGACTGTGGGACTTCTAATGTTATTTATGCTTGATATTGTAATATTAGTATTAATAACAGATATTAGGGTTGAACAAGAAAAAAATGTTTAACATTGAATAGGGATGTATTTTTGTGCCAAGTTTCAAGGAGTCAAATGTCATGGGGCTTTTATTGTTTGTTTGTTTGTTTGTTTGTTTGTCTTTGTCAACTTGACACAAATTAGAGTTATCAGGGAAGAGGAACCTCAATCCTTCAAATGCCTCCATCCAGACTACCTATAGCAAATCTGTAAGAAATTTTCTTGACTAATGATTGATGTGGGAAGGTCCAGGCCTTTTGGGTGATGCAACTCCTGGGAAGGTGGTCCTGGGTTGTATAAGAAAGCAAGCTGAGCAAGCCATAAGAAGCAAGCCAGTAAGCAACATTACTCCATGGCTCTGCTTCCATTCCCATCTCCAGGTTCCTGCCTTGAATTCCTGCCCTGGATTCTGTCAGTAATAGACTGTTCCTGAGAAGTGTAAGATGAAACAAACCCTTTCCTCTCCATGTTGCTTTTGGTCATGGTATTTTATCACAGTAGTAGAAACCCTCCCTAAGACAATAACCAATGCCTTGATCTCACATCAGATCACCACTTGTTGCTATGTCTTCTTCACCTTCATAACATTTAAAAATGCTCCTCTCTGACTCTGCATCATTAATTCTCTTTTCTTGATGTTAATTCTTCAGTATCAAAAGAACATGGAAAGGTCGGAAATATTGATTAGAAGTATGCTCAAAGTTGGAGCTGTGAAATAGTTTCCAGTTAATGACAAGACAGAATCTAACTATTTGCTTGATAGTGTTTAAGAAATAAGATATCACTGTAGGGGAGTAGATCATTGAACTTAGAGATCAAACTTTGGGAAGAAACAAGTGTATGGTGACAATTAGAACGGAAGTGTCCAAAGTGATATGGAACCAGGAGACTAAAATAATGTAGTTTCAAGGGAATGGTTTGATTAGCAATACGGGGCTAAGAACAGGTGATTACCGTGAAGAAGTACTCAGCTGACAAATCAGCGAAGTGGCATTTTATTTCTGAACTTGGGGGACAAGAGCTATGGAGTATTCCAGACCAAGATGCAGTAGAACAAGAAATGTAGAGAAAGCATCAGCAACCACATGAGAAGGCTAGGCTAGGTTTCTGGCAAGCGATAAAGTTTAAAAAAAATCATACACTCAATGGCTTGTGCAGTTAGCCTTTCTACATACATACACACACACACACACACACACACACACACACACACACACACACACACACACACACACAGTTGTAGTCCTTTACAGTCCAGCACTTCTCCCAGAAGAGTGCTTGCACAGGCCTCCAGAAGTTTGAGGGGTAAGAGGTGCAATGGTTCACGTTTTCATTGTTTGAAATGTTGCTAATCACTGCCATTCAAGAAGAGAAAAGGGGGAAGAGAAGAAAGCAGTGTGTTGTCAATGGAGCTAGTTCAACACTGTAGCAATGAGTGCTCTGGTTAACCTACTCGCTGAACTGACTTGAAATGGGCACCATGAACCCCGCAGTTAGGACAATGCTCCTTGAACGAAAGTGACACTACGGTTTTTATCCCATTAGAAGGAACCCTGCAGGAGTGAGTCTCATCGGTAGCTTTACAACCATGCACATCACATTCAAAGGTATAAAGAAGAAAATTCCAAGTTTTGAGAGCACAGAGAATTAAATTATTATATTGGAAAGTCTTTGAAATTATGAAATAAGCTTATAATATTCAGTAATTAACATCTTTCAGGTCCTGTTCGTACAGATCAAAATTGTTGGACAAGTGAAAGTGATTTTAATAGGAATATTGTTCTCAAGAAGCTAAGGGTTGACCCATTATGTAGTGATTAGCACCCCGACTTGATTTGCAGATTGGATTATAGTGGGCCACTTCAATGCTTCATAACAACAATGGAGCCTATGGGAAATTTTTCCTGCTGTCTCATAAACTCTCTCTGGCCTTACTCTGAATATAATGTAGGCTTCTGACCTTTTATTTTGGGATAAGTTTATGGTCAATATTCATTACATGGAATGTCTAATTAATTATAATGGAATAGGTCTAAGGAGACAGATTGCTTCAGGATTTACAGTCAAGTCTTAGTAAATATTTTCATATATATGTTTACATATATATGTACAGTTACAAAAACTGGAGTATTGATTTTTAAATTAACTATAGTTTAATAGATAAATTTTAATCTGACCTGAGATTTGTAGTATATTTCTTTGTATAAAAATATTATTTCCTCAGAAAACCAAAAATAATAATAATAACCTTTCAATTATGGTCAAATTTTAATTTAGTCATTATTATTATATAATAGCATAAATTGTTACAATATTTATGTTGCTGTTTTAAATATATTTTGAATATATAAACATATTACAAAATATATTTTAATAATATACTTAGAATTTTTTTACACCATGGAATCATTATAATTTGGCTTATAAATTCAGCATCCTATGCCATTTCAATTTTAGATAGCTATTTAAATAAGTGAAAACAAAACCTCTAAAATTATACCTTAAGATATTTCCAGCAAGTAAGCTTTGAAGTTTAGTGTATATAAGTATGTTATATATAATGTTTAAGTGAAAATGTTATATAAAGCATACATGAATATTTTTTCAGTATTTTTATGGTTACTTAATACAACACATTATTTAGTGCTGCAAGAGATTGTAGGAGAGGAATTTGCTGTGGCAGCAAAAAGGAGGAAATCATGAATTTGCTTGAGTTTGAGGGTTATTGGGACATCTGTTTTGAAATCTTGGACCTTTAGAGACATGGGGGTAGAATCTTCTGTAGCCAGGACATATCTGCAGAACTTTCTAACTCAACCAGGAATAATAATCCAAAACTGTAATTTTTTGATGGCTAGATTGAAGAGAAAAAGACCTGGAATGAAGCCTGCAAGAGGCTCACAGACTGGCCTAGCTCATACTAGACAGAAATCACAAAGGATGTATAAGGGAAATAAATCTCAGTTCAAGTTATACGTACATGACACTCACAAGATTAGTATATTTAATATTTGGAAATGTGTAGGGATAATAATGAATATGATATATTCAGTTAGAATTTTTAAGACTTATTTTTGCCCCATTGAAATTGTTAACTCTTATTTTGTCCTTAAAGTTTTGTGGCCCACTCCAAGTTAAACAAGGGAGATATGCTCACTTGGGTTGTCATAACTCTATAAATTTTAAAAGTAAATATTCATCTAGTTACCTTAAAAAAGATGAGAAATAATTGGCATGTAAGAATATGTTTTTATAGGGTTTTGTTTTAGTAGTGGAGTTGCTAAAACGTGAAATTTAAATATCCAGATGTAAAGAAGACGACCAAGTGGATAACTTTCTCCAGTTTAGATGGGAGTGATGAATGAAGACATGCATGATGTTTGTGGAATAGAACATTGTTGAGAATGCTGTTTCTTCACAATGGCGTTTAATGATGTGTTTATGAGTGAAAAAAGACAGAACCTCCCTATAATGTATATCTATGTGTTTCAATTATTTATCAAATTTTAGATTTTTTTTCTTTGACTATTGTCACTCTGGCTTTTCAAAGTAGCTCTTAGCAGCATTTGAGTGTGGGACACTGTTGATAAAGCCATAGATCTAATAATCCTACACGTGGACAATAGCATTTTTCTGATCCTGGCTGGTGGGGAGGGTGTATAGGCCACTTGATAACTACCATCAGAAATGACTAACCAAAATGATTTTGTGTATGTGTGTATGTGTGTGTACAGCCACAATTCCTTCAGGAGACACCTACCAAGGCAAATGAACGTCTCCAGTGTTGACTTTAGCATGGGCACTGAGCCTGTTTTACAAAGAGGAGAAACAAGGACCAGCATTGGGAGGATAAAGCCAGAGCTCTATAAGCAGAAATCAGTTGACTCCGAGGGCAACAGAAAAGACGATGTGAAAACCTGTGGGAAACTTAACTTTACGCTCCAGTATGATTATGAAAACGAACTCCTAGTTGTTAATATTATCAAAGCTTTAGATCTCCCAGCTAAAGATTTTACAGGAACTTCCGATCCTTACGTGAAGATGTATCTTCTTCCAGACAGGAAAAAGAAATTTCAGACGCGTGTCCACAGGAAGACACTAAACCCTCTGTTTGATGAGATATTTCAGTTTCCAGTGGCCTACGATCAGCTAAGCAACCGGAAACTACACTTTAGCATATATGATTTTGACAGATTTTCCAGACACGACATGATTGGGGAAGTGATTCTTGATAACTTATTCGAAGTCTCTGATCTCTCCAGGGAAGCCACAGTATGGAAAGATATCCACTGTGCTACCACGGTAAGCAATAAATCCACCAACTTCTCTTTGACCTCTGCTGCTATTTAAGAGCAATCATTGCCCACATTATTGGAGTAAACTCTATAAAGCTGTAGAATTTGAACCCCAAGTTCCTGCCAAGGTGGTATTTGATCCCACAGCAATATAATGTGTGAACCTAATACGGCATAGGGAACATTAGCAGGTGTAAAAGCAAAGCAGTTTTTACACGTTACTCCAAATTGTAAGACTTTTCTTTCCCAACCTACTTACGTGTAACCTGTTCCCAATACCAGTTTCTCCATAGTTGATGCTGAATGTCATTATCTAAAGTGACTTTGTTTCACAGCTCAAACCTGAGATGTGCACTGATGTGTCACGTGGTTTGATCTGAAACAACCCATGGCTATAGACGCTTCCATGGAATGCACATGGTTACAGTGCCATGGGATGCTAAAGGATCAAAAGATAATTCCCCATGTTAGAGTTATCTTTTCACGACACGTATTTTTCAGTTACAAAATGCTATCAACTCTAGTACAGGAAATTTTGAAAGCGGTAAAAACACAATAGAAATAAAGTAATCAACAATGCTACCAATTATGTAAATGTTTGGGGTATTACTTTCCTGTTTCTGCTCTGGATACACTGAAAGAATTGTGATTACTCTGAATTTTTATTTTCACACTGATTTTGTTCCATGGTAATTTGTTTCAGTGCATGATCTCGATCATTTTAAAGTTTCAAACTATGTGCTGTGTGTGTGTGTGTGTGTGTGTGTGTGTGTGTGTGTGTGTGCAGTATTTGTGGGTACCAGACCATGGCATACACTTATTGAGGAGGTCAGAGGACCCATCTGTGGAGTTAGTTGGTCCTTTTCTACCCTTACATGGATTTCCATGAATTAAATTTAGATTCCCAGGCTTGCACTGCAAGGGCCTTTGCCTGCTGAACAATATTGTTGGCCACATAATACATGATATCTAAATATGTTATCCATTTACTTAACCACTTTCTTGTGACACACTTCAAAGAAGCATAAATTTTGTTTTAAAAAATTGAGTTTTTTCTCAGTTCACTTTTATAAGGCTGTGTGTCTGCCCCAGAATTACAGAAGAGGAATTAGAGAATTGCTTTCAGGTTAGATTATTAACTTGTTTTGATTTATTAATTTTAAAGTCAACCATTTTACTTTTTACCATCAGATTGTCTTCATATATTTATTACTTCTTGTAACACAAATGGCTAAATGGTCTTTGAATAAAAAAACCCAGAGCCAGATATTGGGGTAGATGCTGAAAGATCAGAGACAAAGGAACAAGCCACAGCTACCTCTTACCTCACCAACTCCTCGGCCTGAAAAACTCTCTAGCTGACAGGGATGCTTCTGCCAAAAAGCCTTTTAGTTCCTGTCTCCTCACGCCTATATACCTTTCTCCACCCACCATATCACTTCCTGTCTCAACCTCTCTAGTGCTAGGATTAAAGGCATGTGATTCCCAAGTACTGGGATTAAAGGCGTTTGCCACCACTGGCTGGCTCTGTTTCTCTCCTAGACTGAGTCAATGTCATGTAGTCCAGGGTGACTTTGAACTCACAGAGATCCAGACAGATCTCTGCCTCCTGAGTGTTAGGATTAAAGGTATGTGCCACCACAGCCTGGCTTCTATGTTTAATCTAGTGGCTTGTTCTGTCCTCTGATCTTCAGGCAAGCTTTATTTGATACACAATATATCACCACATTTCCCCTTTTTTTTTTGTCTAAAATAACAATGGGTACCAGATGTAACATGAATTGCTAAATGGTCTTTTAATAAAAAACTCAGAACCAGATATTGGGGTAAATGTTGAAAGATCAGAGAGACAAAGGAACAAGCCACAGCCACCACCTCTTACCTCACCAACCCCTCAACTGAAAAGCCCTCAGCTGATAGGCCTCTAGCCGAATGAGCTTCCTCAGCCAAAAAGCTTTAGTTCCTGTCTCCTCATACCTTATATGCCTTTCTCCACCCACCATGTTACTTACTTCCTATTGTTGGGGTTGATGGCGTGTGACGTCCCACATACTGGGATTAAAGGCGTGAGATCTCAAGTGCTGGGATTAAAGGTGTGTGTCACCACTGCCTGGCCTCTATGTTTAATCTAGTGGCTTGTTCTGGTCTCTGTTATTAGGGTACACAATACATCACCACAACTTCTTCTTAACATTCATTTTCTAACTCAGTATTTGCCAAGTATTATGAAAAAGAGTTGACCTTGTCTTGAAAAGTTAAAAGGAGTATCTTGTTCCTAGTGCCAGTCATTTGGAGTACTGAATGCTCCCACTGATCTTCCAGTTGAATATAAATAAATACATTATAGCATTTATTATTAAATTTTTTTGAGTACTTGAATCTTTTTAAACGATTTTCTCATTTCTGGTGCTATAGTCTTCATTTTACTTTCAGTAGTACTCGATCTATCACAGGATCCATTTTTAGGTCATATCCAATGATGCCATCTTTTAAATTTTGCTATTAATGAATTTTCTTCTAGACTTTAACTATGAGATGATATACTCACTGATACAATTTTCAAAATGACTACATTCCAGTTTCCTTTGTGGTGAAAAGTTGGTGACTGGGGTGTTGGTCTCATTGCTTAACCAGGAGACCAGTAGGCAGTATTACAGGCACAGGCTGCAGGTTAGCAAAATCTCCTTCCTCCCACTAATTTGTATTAGCTGTGAAAATTGGAACTCATCTTGACAGCAGAGAAAATTAAAGTTGAGATAAAGTTCAGTTGGCTGGGTGTTTGCTTTGTATGCAAAGCCTGAAATTTAATTTCCAGCATAACTGAGTGTAGGGGCACACACCTGTAATCCCAGCTGAGAAATAAAGGCAGAAGGATCAGAAGTCCAAGGGCATCCTTCGGTACAGAGAGAACAGACTGAGACCCTGTCTCACACACCAGGAAAACAAGCAAACACCACCAAACCCCAGAAAATCCAAGTTCATTAGGAGCTTCAGTGGACAGGCCATTTAAAATACAGCTAGTGTTATCAATGTCCAATTGCATTGGAAGACATTGCCCTGGAAATGCTTGCTGCACGGCCTGGTCCTTGTCCATCCTCCCATTCCAGAGCCTCTATGGAGGCTTTCACCGCTGCAATCTACTTTAACTTTTCCTCAGATTATTTGCCACCCTCCTTTGAAAACTAGAAACATTGGCAAGAATTAGATAGGTTGTTTTTTTTTTAATCGCCGTTCTATTATTTAAACCCCAACCCCCTAAGATGCTTTAAGATGATAAAGACCTGTGTTTTTATTCTGTGTTGTCCCCTAATTAATTGTGTGACATTTTGAAAGGTCAAGATACTTGTTCAGAATCAGCTGTAGGAACCTTGGGAGACAGCATTTATCTTGCTCACTAGTGTCCCCATGACTAGCCAAGTGCCAGGTGTTTGGGGGTGTTCTCAGTAAATGTGAGCATGGTGATGGATGAACAAATCTTTAAAGATTGATAAGGTATTTGATATGGTTGGAATCAGAGTTTGGGGGTTGTGAGAGAAAAATAAGGAATTCGTAATGATAATAATAATAAGCCAAACTTTCAGGGACCTGTGTGTGTCCTGATATGAAGTTTGGACTTTATATTGTAAGATCTCTGTAAGATGAACACCACATCCCTTTGAGGATTTTAGCAGAACCCAGTGTTACTGGAGTTGTTGAAGGTCAGAGCCCGTCACTGGATGACCCCAGTAAGCCATATTTGGCCAGCTATACTTAGTAAACCAACCAAGCAAACAGGCTATAGTAAAAAGCAGTAAAGGCAGATTTAAGGTGGTCACACTGGGGAAAGGGATAAAAACATCCAGTGACACCGTCACTCCACTCCTCCCCTCCCTTGCCCTAGTCCATCTTCAGGGTTCTGACATGAGGGTAAATTTTAAATTGAAGGAAGAGACAGATGCATCACTATGTAGTCTTGGTTCTCCCCAACATTGACCCAATCTGTCTCCCCTGCCAAGCAATCTTAAAAGTTGTTGTTGCCGGGCGGTGGTGGCACACGCCTTTAATCCCAGCTCTCAGGAGGCAGAGGCAGGCTGATCTCTGTGAGTTCAAGGCCATCCTGGGCTACAGTGAATTCCAGGAAAGGCGCAAAACTACACAGAGAAATCTTGTCTCAAAAAATAAATAAATAAATAAAAAGTTGTTGTTAACGTGTGACATCTCCTTTCAGAAGGTGAGCTTCCGCTCTCTGGAGGGCACCAGGATTCAACATTTCCCTTTTCCCAGCGTGAGATTTCTTGGAGATAAATCCCAAGTCCCTGGGTGCCTTGTTTCAATAGTCCAGACTGTTAGAATGAGGAGGAACACCTGGTCTCTTTAGAATGTCCTTATTCCTTCCAGACATCCTAACTATACAGTCGCAACCTAAATAACACTGTACGTCCATTTAACCTTTATGGCTTTCCTCATTAATTTCCACTTAATGAACCTAAATGCTGACTGATTTGAGGATTACTGCCTTTCTCATCAGGCACATTTTCTAGCAATTGAAGCAATATCTATGTTTTATGACCACTTTTTCTTCTCTTAAATTTGTGCTATTAATGCCAATTGATCCTTTGCAGGCTTTTCTGATTCTCCATCCACTATAGCAAACAAGCCTGAAACTGTTACTCTGAGATTACTGTTTTTATTTTAATGTATTTATGTGTACAGCTTTTTTGCCTGAATATTTGTCTGTGCATGCCTGGTATCTGTGGGTGGTCAGAACAGGGTGTGAAATCTTTTGAGACTGGCATTGCGGGCAATTGTGAGATACTGGTGGGTGATGGGAATTGAACCCTGATCCTCTGGAAGAGTAACCACTTCTCTTACCTGGTGAGCCATCTCTCCAACCCCAGGTTCAGACATTCGTGAACATGCTTCAACTAGACATCCTCCGTGGGTCTCGTTTTTACTAATGCTTGCAGTTATAAACATTGAGCTTGAAAACAAATTATTTCACCTCACTGAACACCTTCATTTTATACC